CCATATGATATCACTTATATTTGGAATCTAAAAAAGAACAAATTAACTTATTTACAAAACAGAAACAGACTCACAGACATAGAAAACAAACTTATGGTTACCAGGGAGGGAAGGGAGTGGGAAGGGATAAATTTTGGGAGTTCGAGATTTGCAGATAGTAACTACTAAATATAAAATAGATAAACAAGTTTATACTGTACAGCACAGGGAACTATATTCAATATCTTGTAGTAATCTATAATGAAAAACAATATGGAAACAAATATATGTATGTAAGTGTATGAATTATTATGCTGTACACTAGAAATTGACAGAACATTGTAAACCAACTATATACCTCGATTAAAAAAAAAAGAAGAAAAAAGAAATGAAGGAGAGGTTATCACTACAAACTTTACAGATATTAAAAGGCAAAAAAGGCTTAATGAAATGGACAAATTCTAGTTACAACATACCAAAGCTCTCTCTCAAGAAGAAACAGAGTAATTAATCTGAATAGTCTTACATCATTAGATGCAAATTATGGCATCTTGAAGTATGTTTTAATGGCAATAAATCAAACTACTATGTGGGTACTCGTCACCAAAATAGTTAACTCTGAAAGTCATAATAACTCCCATCTCTTTATGTTGGGTTATATTCTCAGGGACTGTTTCTTGCCATGAATAACAGAGAATATGATTTAATCACATACCCAGAGACAAGAGAATCCCTGTAGCACTGAAGCCTTCTCATTTGTTTCCTCACCTGAGCTCACTTTGCAAATACTTGAGAAACAGAAAATTGTCTTTGCAACATGAAAGAATCTAGATAGATAATTCTAAGAGCTTAAACGTTTCTCTGAAGTAACCATTACAATAATCTGTGCCCATGTACTAAATTCCACTGGCATCTTTAAAACATTAAAAAAGATAGAAAATGTTTATCATCTGCCATTCTGTCTCAAAATGGCAGCTAAAACTATAAATTTTATCTTAAGTGCATAAATATCCTTTTAAATGAAAACAATAGTAAGGCCATTTACTGAGCTTACACCACACCAAGTGATGTGACAAAAATGGCTTTCTAGACATCTAGTGGAGATTAAACAGCTCATCTTGGAAAATTACTCAATTTTTTTTTAACTACTCTCACAATCTGTGCCTTACATTTATCTAGCAAATGCCTGTGTACACCTGACTTTTACTAGGTATTCTAAGGCATGCTTTCACTAGGTCGACCATACAGAATTATGGTTATCGAGAAAATAAAATGTTTAATTCTAAGTTAAATATATAATTCTGAGTTAAAATATATAATTCTGAGTTAAAATATATACATATTTCCATTACAAATAGGTGTGCAATTAGTGAAATTATAATATGGATCTGTCCAAAAATGAGATGTAGTTAGAGAATCAAGGAATTTTAGAGCTACTGGGATCTCAAATCATGTAGTGGAACTCCCTGTTTTCTTAGAAGGTGAAATCAAAGCAAGGATGTTGTTACCATTAATGGTCTATAAAATAATTTTGTATCATGTAAGGAAGCTTCATTTAAAAGAATAATTGATGAATCCTTTTATAGATCACATAATCATTCTGCAGTGTAACTATTGCCTGATCTACCTGCTTAACACGGTCAGGTCAAGTCCTAGAACGTGGCTTTCTGTCAAACAGAAGAGACAATCCTGCCATGTTGCTAAGGAAGAGGGATAAGGGGAAGAGAAAGATCTTCAGTTATTGAGCACTTAAGTTGTACCTCCATTCAACTGTCTAATCACCCCAAGAATCCTACAGATAGTATTAATATCTTTTTTGAGTAGGCCACAGGCTGGAAACTTGCCCATGATCACACAGAAAGTAAACTGTAGTTCCAGAAGTGGACAACAAATCTATGTGACTCCTTCCACGACACCACACTTAGTAAGTGATCCTTGGAGAAATGTTCTCTATAAAAGAGAATCACTGTGCACGTTGAGAAAATCAGATAAACTGATTTATCTTTCACCCCAATAAAAACCTGCTCCTCCTTATCTCAATCAATGTTTCAATATCCCATCAGTCATCCTAGCCAGAAAACTAGGAATCATTCGTCTTAGGGTTCCGAATCCATCCAAACTCTTATTAAGTCATATCAGTTTTACCCCTTTAATGTTTCTGCAATTCATCTCTTTCTATAACTCCAACTGCTTAGCTTAGACTTGTTTCATTTTCCTACTGGACTTTTTTTCCCTAAAACTGGTTTTCCTACCCCCATTCTAATTCCACCTCTCCTGGATCCATTCTCCACACTGGAGTCAAAGCTATCTTTCTAAAATGCAAACCCGGTAATGCCACTAGTCCATCTGAAATTCTTCAATGGTTACCCCATGTTGAAGAAAAATTCTGAACTCTTTATCACAGTACCACGTACTTCAAATCTGGTCTCTCCCACTACACTGCAAGTATTCTGGGATTCAGTCACCACAATGACTTAGGGTTCCCCAAACACAAAACATCCAAATCTCTCCTTTGCTTCTGTTATGCCATTTGCCTACAAAGACTTTCCTCGGCCTCTCTCCAGTAAAAGCTTAATCAACTTTCTTAGCACAAGTCAAATGTCACATCATTCTGGAGACTTCCCCTAATTCTCTTAGACAGGATCTTTCTAACAAAGGGTACAGGGAATGGCATCGGTGGTTGAGAGCACCATTTAGATAAGTTAGGCCCACCTGGGTTGAAGCACCATTCACATCTTATCAGCTATGACTCTGGGCAAGGTCTCTAAGGCTGCTTCCTCATCTCTAAATAAGAGCGCCTACTTCACAGGATTGTTGTGAGGATGAAACAAGGGGCTAAATGCAAAATGCGCTGCACAGTACCTCCTGTAGAGTAAGTGTTCGTTACCTATTACTGTGCTATGACTATGTATTCTCTCTCTGGGCTCCTATAGCAACTGGCACCTAGCTCCATCACACTATTGTGACAACACGACTGTGTGCCATGCAGGACACAGGCAACCTTCTATCATCTCTTTATTCCCACCACCTAGTGGAACACCTGGCCCATACAGGTCCTTAACAAACCTAGAATGAATAAGTAATATAAACAAATCTTGAATGAATGAATGAATGAAATACTTTAAATCCCTCTACGGGGGCGGGGAGGGTATAGCTTGGTGGTAGAGTGCATGCCCAGCACGCATGAGGTCCTGGGTTCAATTTCCAGTACCTACATTAAATAAACAAACAAACAAACCTAACCTAATTACCTCCCCTCATAAACAAAAAAAACTAAAAAGATTTTTAAAACTCCCTCTACTGTATAAGGCCTTGATTTTTTCCCTAGTGGTATTACTAAACCTACTTTTTATTTCCTTCTACAAAATTGCTACTTTAAGTTTACAGAGGCCAGCTTCATTTAATTGAGAGAAAAGAAATTATGTAGTGGCCTTATGTTGTTTTCTTGCTTAAAAACACTCACATAAAATAAGCCCCCAATATGTCAACAATTTTCCAACATACTATCACAAAATACCCAATTTCTAGAATGGTTATCTACCTATTGAAAAATTTCAAAGGGTAGGCAAGGCAGGTTTTCTAAATCTGTGCTAGCTTCCTCACCATCAGGGCCTGAACCAACGTTAGGGGGCTAAGGTGTATCCCAGAGCACTGAAAAAAAGAGAGAGAGAGAGAGAGAGAGAACATGGCGTTTTCACTCGTAAAAACGCTAGAAAACACTGGAATAACTAAAGAAAATAATTATTACTACCTACTGCCAAAGAAAAAAGACAAATCTGTACTTTTAAAAACACGAATAATTTAAAGCTGAATTAATCTTTAAAATGGAATCAAAATATGTGTAGGCAGTGTTGAAGTTGGTAAGTGGGAGTGGGAGGGGTATTCGTTTTACAATCTTGACTCAATAAATAAATGCAAATTGCAAAACAGTAAAAAAAAAAAATCAGATACTACCATATAATAGCATGGTATCTTTTATCTACTTCTACAGTTAACCTTTAAACATTAATGCCCTTTGAGTAATTATTAATCAGTGGGTTTAATTAACGCAAACACCTCTGAACTACTTCAGAACAAATGGGATCCAATACCTAGAAATAACGTATCAGGGAAAGGAGAAAAGCCTGTTAAAATATCCTTTTTCGGGTCTCCCATCAAATGTGTGCCATACATACGGTTCTGCACCGAGAGGCAGCAACCTGGGAGGATGAGAGGCGCCGAAGGCCCGAGGCCCTGCAGCCAGGGCGGCCGCTCCTCCCCAGTCTACGCGGGGCGGTGGCCGAGCCGGGGTGGGGCTAGCGCTGCAGCCGGGGCGGGCCCGATGGCAGGACGGAAAGCCCAAGTCTCACCTCCACTTCCCCTTCCCAGCGCTCAGAGCCCAGGTCCGCGACCACCCCGGAGCCCCCTCAGCACAAAGAGAGAGATTGTCTTCTCTCTGGGTCCACTCAAAGTTTATCGGTCTTTCCCAGCGGTCGGGGCCGCCGGGCTTTGTAGTTCGCCCGTCCAGGCCGCCCCGCCAAGGCCGGGAGCCCGAGGAGCCGCTGAACTACAATCCCCATAATGCCCCGCGCACCCCACAGCTCTTCCCCCGTTCCGCTCTGTTCCCGCGTCTCCCGCGGCGGGAGCCGGGGTGGGGCTGTCAACCTGGACACCCCACCACCGGCTCTCTGGCTGGCGCCCATCTCCCTCGGATTCATTACCTATGTGCCGCAGGTCGGCCGACCGTCTTCAAGCGGTCCAGGTGGGATGGGGGGTGGGGCAGTAGGCC